TGGAATCTGAAGAACAAGATAAAAGAACAAACAAAACAGAAACAAACTCATAGATACAGAGAACAAACTGATGGTTGCCAGATAGGCAGGGTTTGGGGGTCTGGGTGAAATAGGTGAAGGGATTAAATGTGATTTAATGTGATAAAGTAGCATATTAAATGTGATAAAATGGCATAAAATTATACATATACACTGTACCAATGATTAAGAAGTACGAATAGTCACAAGGGTGTGAAGTACAGCATAGGGAATATAGTCAATAATATTGTAATAACTATATATAGTGCCAGATGGGTACTAGACTAATTGGGGGGATCAATTCATAAATTATATAAATGTCTAACCATTATGCTATACACCTGAAACTACTATAAAATAATATTGAATGTCAACTGTAATTGAAAAAATGAAAAATTAAATTAAAAATTATTTTTTAAAATACTATGTACTGATCCATTGCATTTACCTAAAATAAAATTCTATCAAGTGTTTTTGTGCAAAAAAAAAAAAAATCCTCAAAATTCAACAGTAAAATAGCAGAAAATCCAATTAGAAAATGGGAAAAGGACATGATGTACCATTTCACTGAAAAGGATATACAGATGACAAATAAGCACATGAAAAAATGTTCAACATTACTAGCCATTAGAGAAACACTGCTATTAGAAAAGCTAAACTAAAACAAAATAATGACAATATCAAATACTGGCAAGGATGTAGAGAAACTAGATTTCTCAAACATTGCTGAGAATGTAAAATGTTACAGCAATTCTGGACAACAATTTGGCAATTTCTTTTTTAAGAAACTAAATATACCCTACTACATTATCCAGCAAAAGCACACCAGGACATTTATCAGAGAGAAATGACATTTCGTGTCTATGTAAAAATGTGTACACAAATGTTCATAGCAGCTTTATTTGTGATAGTCAAAAACTGGAAGCAACTAAAATGTCCTTCAATAGATGAATGGCTAAACAAACTGGAATACCTCTTCAGCAATAAAAAGAACAAATTACTGATACAGCAACAATTTGAATGAATCTCAAGGGCATTATGCTAAATAAAAAAGGTCAATCTCAAAGGTCATATGTTGTATGGGTCCATTTATATAATATTCTCAAAATGATAAAATTAGAGATGAACAGATTTTTAATTATCAGGCGTTAGGGATGGTGGGTTTGAGGGGAATAGGTGTGACTACAAAAGACTAGCAGGCAGGAGGTCTTGGTAGTGACAGAATCATTTTGTATCTTGATTATGATGGTGGTTACGCAAATCAATACATGTGATAAAATGGCATAAAACGATTAACATACATTGTACCAATGAAAATTTCCTGATTTTGATACTATACTATGGTTACCGAAGATGTAACCATTAGGAGAAACTGTGTAAAAGGAACAGAAGACCTCGTTGTACTGATTTTGTAAACTCCCATGAATCTATAATTATTTTAAAATAAAAATTTTTATAAATTATTAAATAAGATATGATGAAATGTAATAACCTAAGCATTGGACTTAATAATAGAAAAACAAGATAAACCCAAAGAAAATAGAAAAAAGGAAATAATAAAGCTAAATAATAAAACAGAAGACAAACAGAGAGGATCAACAAAATCAAAAGTTGGTTTATTGAAAAAATAATACCTTGGAAAATTTAATGTCAATAAATTTATTACTTATCCAAAACTGGCAAAACTCCTAGAAAATATAACCAACACAAATTGACTCGGAGAAAAATAGAATTTGGGGGTAGTACTATAAGCACTGAAGAAATACAATCAATATGTATAAATATCAGGCCCAGATGGTTTTGTAGTCAAGTTTTACCAAGTATTCAAGGAATATCTTTTTCCAATATTATGAAAAATCTTCCAGCGAATAGAAATAGAAAGGAAACTCCAGCTCTCCAACTATTATGACGTTATACAACCTTGATAACAAATACAGACAAGAAAAGTGTAAGAGCTACAACACAAACTCATTCACCAGCACAGATATAAAAACCCTAAGCAAAATATATGCAAACTGATTCCATTAATAAGTAGAACACATAACATCACAACTAAGCTTTGCTTATCCCAGGAAGGCAAAGTTGGTTTAATACTAGAAAATACATTATTTTTATTCACTGATTGAGAGAAAAAAATAAATTATCTTAATAAATGCAGTAAACATATTCAATGTAATTCCAAACCTATTTGGAATAAAACTGCCTAACAATCTAGGAGTAGAAGATAACTTAATAAGTCATTTACGAAACACCAATCTAAAACCAATCTAATACCTAAATCTGAAACATGAGAACTTCACCTTTAAAATCAGATCAGGGAACAAGACAGGGACTATTACCACCTCAACATCAAACTAGAGATCTTATCTGGTTAAATAAACGAGAAAGAGATTTTATAACCTTTATAGGTTAAAAGGATTGGAAAGAGAGAAAAACATTATTTGAAAAGTATCTGATTGCTAACACAGAAAACCCAAGGCAAACAGTTGAAAAGTGATTGGAGTTAATAGAATAAGAATGGCTGATTAAAATGTTAAGATTTAAAATCCATTTCATTTATATACAACAGCAACAGATGGGAAACATAATGTTTCAAAATATACCACTTATAATAGCAAAAAAAAAGTTACCCAGGAATAAATCAAATAAAGATATGCATGACATTTATAGAGAAAGTTATAAAGCTTTACTGAAAGTTAAAACAACTATCCCTCCCCAAACTGATAGAAATTCAGAGGTTTATTCTCCATACGTGATCAACAGAAGGCCTCTAGTCCACAGACGATAAGCACATTTGAAGGCAGAAACCTTACTGCAAACCAAGCAAGAATGTGATCAAATCCTTAAATGCTAAATACTGAGATACCACCCCATTGTACCCCAAAGTATTTCCCCTGTTGGATTGCAGAACTCTAGCAGCCAAACCTTTACCCTACTGGCAGAAAATTAGATGATCCTCCTTTAGGAAGTTCAGCAATCCATAAAGACCTAAAAGACACTGACTTAGGGACTCCCCCGACCCCCAGCCAAATGACTCATGCTGACCATTCGATAGTAAAGCTATAAATCAACAAGTTCCCTTCATGTGGTCAGAGCTTTCAATCAACTTTTTAATCCTAAACTTAAGCATGAGCAAAGTCTAACAAATATCATAAGAAAACCTCTAATATGTAAGATAGAGTCCAAAGTAAACAAACCAATAAACAAACAAATGGATGAAGGCTACCTGAAGGAAATATAATTTTTGCAAGGAAAAGAAAAACTTTAAAACAATTATCATTAATATATTAAAAGAAATCACAAAAGAGAAACAAGAACAGAATCCTATTATTAAAATAGAGAACAAAAGAGAGTTCTTGGAAATTAAGAACATGGTAAGAAAGTAGCAGAAATGAAAACCTCAACAGTGAAGTTGAAATACAAAAGAAAGGGAGTAGGAGATTCCAGTCAAGATGGTAAATGCTGTGCATGCCTCCTCTCACAGCCTTATCAAAATTACAACAAAACTGCAGAACAACCATCATTGGGAGTTGCCTGAAGTCTAGCTGAACAGAAGCCCTATAACTGGGGACATAGAGTAGAGGCCACCTCAAGACTGATTGGAGGGGCGAAGACACAAAAGCTGGTCCCACACCTTTGTGTGGTGGTTGAGAATCGAAATGGATATCTTAGCTGTGGAGGTCCCCCTGGAGAAGGGGCGGGAGGAGTCCCAGCCCAACACCAGGCTCCCAGCCCAGGGTCCCAGTGCTTGTAAGAGAAATCCACACAACTTCTGGCTGTGAAAACCAGTGGAGAGTGCGACTGAGTAAGACAGAGGGCTGCTAGAGTCCCAGGCATTCCTCTTAAGGCGCCAGTGCATGAATTTACCCACTGATGAACTCGCTCTGAGATTCAGCGCTGGGGCAGCATCTCAAAAGGCCACCAGGGATACTGGGAGGAACTAAATTGTCTGGCTTCAGGGCAAGGGCTGGAGGGGTAGCTTTCTCCCAGACCAAAGTGCTGGTAGAATCCATTGTTCCTTTGTTGAGCCCTCCTCTCTTTAGGCATGCAAACTCACCATATCTGAGTTTCCATCAACCTGGCTAACACTGGTCGCTCTGCCCTGGTGATCCCCTGAGACCTCACCCTACCCAATTTTCAGGCCCACCCAAGCTGCTTCCAAAGGATTTTCCATACAAACAGCATAGAGAACATAGTCAATAATATTGTAATAAATATGTATAGTGCCAGAAGGGTACTAGGCTGATCAGAGGAGTGACTTTGTAAATTATATAAATGTCTAACCACCATGCTTTACACTTGTAACTAATATAAAACAATATTGAATGTCAACATAATATCTGGTTTCAATTCAATGAAGACATTTATATTTATTTATAGGTATATTGGTAATAATATGCCCCTGGCATGTTGCTTACTAGCAATCTAACAATACAGGAGAAAAGCTTAGAGAAAATAAAGAGTGAGTGTTGTATTAGTTTCCTGTGGCTACTGTAACAAATCATACAAATTGGGTGACTTAAAACAACAGAAGTCTGTTCCCTCACAATTCCAGAGACTAGTAGTCTGAAATCAAGGTGTCAGTAGGGCTGCATTTCCTCTGGAGGCTCTAGGAGACGATCCATTCTTTGCCTCTTCCAGCTTCTGGTGATTGTAGATGTTCCTTGGTTTGTGGCCACATCACTCCAATCTCTGCCTCTGTGGAAATTTTGCTTCCTCTTCTCTTTTGTCTCTCTTTTTGTCTGTCTGTTAGGGCCCACCTGGATAATCCAGGATAGTGCCTCATTTTAAAATCCTTAGCTGAATTACATCTGCAAAAACTCTTTTTCCAAATACGGTCACATTCGCAGGTTCCAAGGATTAGGATGTGAACATATCTTTTGTGGGATAACTATTCAACCCACTACAAGTGGTTAGCCAATCCCTCAGTTCAGTGTTTCTCAAATTTCAGTAAAATACAGACCACTTCTAAAATAAAGACATTTTCATAGAAAACAGAACAAAACAAACAAATAATTCATAATAAATTTTTTGTATGTGGGATTTGACAAACTGATTTAAAATGTATATGGTGAGCAGAGTCAAAAATAGCCTTGAAGAAAAAAGACAATGTTGAGGGAATCCTGCTCTAAGCCTTATAAATTTACAGTAATTAAGGCACTATGATATTGGCTCAGAGATCAACAAATGAGCCAACAGAACACAATAATACAATTGATGACAGCCCAGCAAGACATCCAAACATACAGAGAAACTTGATATATGACAGAGGCATCATTGCAAATTATTTGTATGAAAAAAAGTGGATCTTTACCTCATACCATGAAAAAAAAAAGCACTTCCAGATTCATTCAGGATTTAAATATGAACAGCAAAACTTTGACATGTTTACAAAATACAAGAGAATATCTCATCTTAAAAATACAAATATCCATCATCAGCAAAAGGGTTAATTAGATACAAAAAAAATATTTGTGGACACTGTGAGGCATTTCCAAGATTTCCCTTCAAGGAAGGCTCGTAGCCCCATGAGCTGGGAGCACTGTCGGCCATCAACCTTTGGCTGTCAAACCCTTCAGGGACTATCTTAGTTGCAGAAAACTGCCTTGCCCAAGGTCACCTTTCTTACTGAGATGGCTATATCCAATGACTGATCAGCCTGACTCAGGACAACCATGAATGTTCTGAAGAGCTATTCTATTTTTATTGTATTTGCTCATGACACTGCAAGTCAGGAATTTGGTTTGGGCTTAGCTGGCCAGTTCTGCTCCACATAGCATTGGCTGGGGTCATTTACTCAGCTGCATTCAGTTGGTGACTAAGCTAGAGTAGAAGGTACCATAAGGCTTCATTCACATATCTGGCACCTAAATGCTCTTACAAGTGGCCTCTATCTCACCATATGGTTAAATTGGACTGCCTCACAACATGGTGTCTTCATAGCAATCAGATTTCTTACATGATAACTGGATTCTAAGAGGGAGCATTTCAAGTGGTGAAGACAGAATTTCTAACCTTGGAAGTCATCTAGCATCACTTTTCCTGTATTCTGTTAGTCAAAATAAGTCAGATAGCCAACCCACATCCAAGGGGAGGAGAAATAGACAAATCTTCTTGATGGATACAGGATGAGGTCACATTATAAAAAAGCCTGTGGGATGGGAAAGATTCTTGTGGCAATCTTTGGAACCACAATCTATCACAGCCATCTTGTACAGCCAAGTAGATTGTATGCTGTACAACTCCAGGAGTTACCATTTGTCTAGAACTTAAAGCAATAGCTCCCCCTAGAATTGTGTAGTACACAACTACCAAAATTGGTCCCCACACCCCTAGAATCTCATACACATAACGATGATCACAAAAAGCAAAAGCAAGTCACAGATGAATAGATACAATATTATGCTATTTACATTAAGTTTAAAATGTCAAACTGAATGATATGTTATTAGGGATACATAAAAAAATGTAGTAAGCCTATAAAGACAAGCAAGGAAATGATAAACACAAAATTTAGGAAAGGGCTAGAGGATGCAGTTGTTATGATCAAAGGAAAATACAGAAACTTGAGTAGTCTTGGCAATAGTCTATTGCTTTAGCTAGATGGTAGATACATGGGTGTTTGTTATCTATATAACATTCTTTTGTATGTACAAAATAATCCATACTCAATTAAGAAAGAAAACAAATAGCGAAATAGAAAAAGTAAGGAAAGATTAATTCAGGATAAGTGTAGCCTCTGGAATAATGAAAAGGAATATGGCAGGAGAAAGATATACAGGGTATCTAGTAGTATTTAATAAGTTAGCTTGGTGAGTACTTGTCACATTTTTCTTTATACATTATAAATTGATTACATACCTTCTTTTATTTGTGGCTGTCAGAAGATGTAGACCATAGAGTCAGAGGTGAACAGAATAGTGCCTTAACAAGAATTATTTCCATCCACGTGTACCCTGTGGTACTCAGAGTATATAATAGAAACAAAGTTTGAACTTCTCATTCTAGAAAGGCCATAGGTAAGCCTGTAAACAAAGAAGAAAGAAATATTCAGCTTCTTCTTCTGGGATATAAGATGATAGAGTTAAACTCAATCTAAACAAAGACACTAAATATAATAAAAGTTGAGGCGGGAAGGCATTAAAATTGTGAGATATGTACTTTAGTACTGAATATCATGTAAAGTGGTTGCAGATGTCATCATATTATACCTCTGTGGGAAAAAAAAAAATTGAGAGGGAAGAATGCACTATTCAAGGACCACTCACTGAGTTTGTATAATGGTTAAATATATAAGACCACTCAGGCAGGTGAAAGGGAGACCATTTCTTTCTTTAGAATCTTTCGTTGTAGTTGTAACAGCAATATTAAAAGAGTTTATTTTACTCTTTCGATTCCCAAATTTCCATCCTGCACTTTCAATAATCATTCAGAAGTGAAGATGACATAAATAATGCAATGTTCGTCACCCATTCTCTGTTTTTAGAAAACTGAGATGACTTTCTAAAGAGGTAATTTTTGAGAAAACTGGGTGCACATACATGGAACCGTTTAGGTCATGTATTGTGACAGTAAATAAGAAATTGAGTAAGCTATATTTCAACAAAGAAAACTCTGAGGAGGAAGACAAGGACTCTAAAAGACATTGTGTCAAGATGAAATCTCATGGCTCACTTCTTCACAAAATCCTTAGCTGTTTTCTGCAGACTAGTCCATGGATGTAGTGAAATATGTGAGTTACAGGCAGATATTTTTTTCCCATATTGATTCAAACATATAGGCAAAGGCAGGAAATGTTTCCAAAATTTTAAAGCAATCTTGAGTAAACAATGCCTGAGGTAGAGAGCAACTGTGGTCTGTCTTTCACTTTTCCCTTCTTCTAAAAACAGTTCTTCACATTTAAGGTAAACTGTTCTTCTCCCACTCTACCCAAGGGCTCCTACTAGGGAAACCAGCCATATTGTGACCATATGACCCCTATGACTTCATAGTCCTCATCCTCCTTTTTATTGGAGCTTGGGAAACAGAAGCAGTCCCTCTCAGACAGCAAACCTGTGGCTCAGTCTGGTCCAAGCCTCCATCATATCTCATCATATCTGCCTCTCTACAGTTTGTTCTCAACACACAAGCCAGAGCCTAATGCAAATCAGATAACATCTCTCCTCTTCACAAAATTGTCTAGTGGTTGCCCATCTCATACTCTAAGTCAAAGTCAAAGTCTTTACTTATGACACACAAAGCCCTGTGTAATCAGCCCCACAATCCCTTACCTCCCTGGCTTCACCTCTTGCTACCTTTCCCCTTGCACACTCCAATTCAGTCTCAGTGGCCTTACTGATGTTCTGCACACTTGCCAAGCTTCCACCTACCTCATATCCTTTACACTTGTTCTCTTCAAAACTGCAGTTAACTTCATGGCTCAGCTTCTCTCTTCATTCTGGTCTTTGCTCAAATTTCATCTCCCTAGAAAGGGCTTTACTGACTATTCTATTTAAAATTTAACACACACACACACACACACACACACACACACACACACACACACACACCACTCTCTATCTTCCTTCTATGCTTGATGTTTTTCTTCTATAGCACTTATCACTTTCTAACATACTATAAAATATTACTCTTTACTTTGGTTTACTGTCTAAATTTCCCCCCCTAGAATATAAACAGAGGGGTTTTTTTTCTTGTTTTTCTTCCCTTGCTATTCCCAGCATCTAGAACAATGGCTGGCATGTAATAGTTGCTCCATAGGTATGTGTGCCACGAATTGGATGAGTGAAATCTGGGAAGATGAAAGCTGGCAGCTGTTGTTATCCATGGTCCAGTCTTGTGGAAAAGCCAGCCTGCAAAAGAAAAGCTGATACAGAGAAACCAGCACTCTCCAACCTAGTGAGGGACTAGCCTCTGTCTCTATCATCCCAGAAGCCAGTTTTTTCTCTGCTTTTACCAGAGTTTTCTACATGAGCCATGTACTTTTTGCCTAAGATGGTTCCAGATGAGCTTCTATCATTTGCAACCATAAGAGTTCTAATATATGAGTGTTCTCTGCACAAACATATACAGAGCTAATTTTCCCTTTGACCAAGTGAAAGCCTCTCTGGGTGGTCTACATCCTCAGCTCATGCTCTGCTTCATTTTCCATCCTCAGCTTGTCCTGACTTGGCAATAGTACTGGATTCCACACTAGGAAGCTTTAGTTGCAACATTGTTTGCAGTCATTTGAAATCTCTGTTATCAACCTTGTGCAAAGCAGTATATAGAGACAAGGCAGGGTGTGCTGCCTCCCACCTCCTGCTCCTTCCTAAACAGCCCTTCAAATATCCAGCTCTATAGCCACCCAAACCCAAATACCTGACCTCTAGATGCTCACATATTTGCCTGTGTTGTCCTACCTCCACTGTCTACCACATCACCACTAAATTCTACCCTGTCAGGCAGAAATCAATAACAGAATGAGGAAACCAATTATATTGTGACACATCAAAAACAACTTTGTGACCCACCAAAGTGTCCTAACCTGCTGGTTGGAAAATAGCAGCTCAGAAAAGCATCATATATGCCATACATTTTGCAAAACAGCCACCTAGCCAAATTAAAAATGATTCAGAGGATTTAACAGACCTATTTATTATAAGTTTAAAAGTATGAATAAATACATACGATGTTATAATAGACTTATTTTGTAACTTCTTAGCCAATAGGACTATACACTCACATACTAGTGCTGTTAATGAGCCCCAAAACTCTTCCATCCAATTATTCATTTAACAAACATGAATCGAATCCCTGTATCTGAGTCAGACATTGCCTGGCGCTGGGCCATGAAGAGGCTTCCAGTCTGGAATGAAATACACAAGCAGAAATCCAATAGAGTGGTATTTTGTAAGCACCATGTAGAAACATCTTACCTTGTTTTGAGGAATCTAGAAAAAAACAGCTTAGAAGAGATAATGTTCTGAGATTAATATTAAAGGATGAGTGGAAGTTAGCCCAACAAAGGAGGGAAGGACATTCTAAGAGAAGAGGCATTATGAGCTGTGAATATAAAGATTCATCTCCCAGACCCCCTACATGGAAGGACATGGTACCTCAGCTGTAGAAGTACAGGAAGCAGACAGCCCTCAGCCCTTTCAGGGTCTGCCTCAGATGCAGAAAACCATCTCACCTCAAATCACACCATTCTGAGAACAACCCATATACAATAACTGATTGAGCATAGAGTATAAAGATCTGATCATTTTTGCCCAACTTGAGACAACTCCAAAGGGCCATCTAGCTCTAGAGCCCTCTGTAGGGTAGGCCAAAGCTGTCTTTGGGCCTGCATTCCAGCTCAGCTCCTCTCTCTGGCCATTCCTGTTTCCCTCTCCTCCTTCCCACAGGTGTTGATCTCAGGGGCTCTCCTTAATAAATATCTTGCACACTAAACCCAGTCTCAGCTTCTAAGGGGAACCCAATTTGTGACACAAGCCATCAATGTCTATTAAGAAAATTGGACTTAAAATTATTCTGGGGGTTTAAATAAATTTAACTTCCAACACCACAGCATTATTACCATCTGTGTTTCCTTTCAGGAACAACACTGTCAGACATAAGAGGGGCCTTTCACTTATCCCAGCAATCATACCTAAGAGTGGCTACATAGGAGAATTGTCTGACTCTGCCTTTCAGTTTTCTCTGAAGATGACCTGAGTGTGTCTGAGAAGATAGAAGTAGTCCTTCTACAGAATTTCACCCATGGCTCAGCCACACCCATCCAACCATTCATTTATTCACTCAAGAAACATATCCTGGACATATGCTAAGCACTGTGCTAACTTAGTCACTTCTTGCTCCAGATCTAACCTTTAAGATTATTTTAGAATTCTCAACTATGCTCATTAAAAAATCTGTTAAAAGAAACTTTAGTCAAAGAAATATCAGTGTATATGATTTGCCTTTAAATTTCTTAGCTATTATCTGAGTCCAGACTCTCTAAGGGTACCTTTGTTTGCTGTTTGACTTTTTATATGGTGCTTGTAGTGAGAGATAAGGCCAGCAAGAAGGTTGTCGGGACTCTCTGCAGCTACAGTTCCTATTGAAAACTTACAGACATTCTGAACTCCCTTATTTGTGTGATAAATTTATGAACTATGGGATACAACATGGAATTCTTAGTTCCAAAAACAAACTAGAAGATTTTGCCCAAAAGCAGCATTTAGTTCAACATTTGTTAAGCTGTTTGTGCTAAGCACTGTGTGAATACAAAGATAAGCAAGGCATATTCCAGCCCTTACCAAGCCCATAGGCAGATGAAACAAGTCCATGAAAGACTGGTATAATCAATAAAGATACAAGATATAATAAAGGAGAAAAGAAAGTGTGGGAGGATCTTGAACTTGAGCATCTCCTATGAGCCAAGCACTTTATCTGTGTTATATCATTTAATGTTCACAATAAGGTTATAAAATAGCCTTTCCCCCCTTATTTTATTAATGAGAAAAACTGAGGAGGCTGTGGTCACACAGCTAATAAATGGAAGAATCCCAGCATGCTTGACTCCAAAGCCCAAGCTCTTCCCTTACAAACTGTCACCATAACAGAAGTATGAAAAGAGTGTCACTAGTGGGGAGTTCAAAAGGAGAGCAAAGGCTCCTGCGTTGAGGAGTCAGGGAGAACTTTATGGAATAGGTGATGTTTCAGGGAGGCCATGAAGTATGGATAGGGTTTTAACTAGCAGAGGATTATAAGGAAGGTGTTCTGGGTGGAGAAAACAGTATGATCAAAGGTCCCGAAGTATGGGAAATGCCCAAAAACCTACAGGGTGTGTTTTATGGCAGGTTCCCCAGGAAGCAGACTCCAAAGTGGAGTTTAGCATTCAGAAATGTATTAGGAAGTGTCATTGGGATCAGCCCCGGTGGGGGAGTAAAAGAAGTAGGATTAGGCAGAGGAAGTTATTGGGCTACAATACATTCACAAAAAAAGGTCTTAGAAATCTCATGTGTTGTTCCAAAGCTGGGATGACTTTTTCAGAGGTGTCTTGCCTTGAGACAAGAGAGATAGGTCTTTAGAGCTCCCTCTTTTAACAAGTCATTGGATGTAGGCTGTCCCTGGGAAGAGAATATGAATCTTGGGTGAGGTGGCACTCTTCAACTAAGAAAAATTTCCAGAGAGAGACTTGTATGAAAGTTATCATCTGCCAATACTCTCAGCAACTGGGGGAGTGAGTACCTCAGTCCTGAAGGAGAAATTCTGCGTGGCTCGCCATGAAGTTCACTATAGAATGTGTGTCCTGGGCAGTAAGCAGGGATTATCTGGCGAAACACAAGAGTACAGGACTAATGAAAAGATGAAGTTGGAAAGTTGAGAGGAGGTGGACGTTTAAGGCCAGACTTTGTGTTTGATAAAAAAGGAAAAAGGGTCACTGAATTTTGTGTGAGGCAAGAAATGGCTAGAAGTTGCACGCATCATAAGTGCATGGGACAACTTAAGGTGGGAAGAACCTAGAGGAAGAACCAGTGGGCACTTCCACAGTCAGTCAAGATAGAAGGTGAAACGGGGAGACCTGAATAGGTGGCAGTGGTGGTGGGAAGGAGGGGATGGAAGCAGCAGAAGAATTGAGGGCACAGACATTGCATTCTAAACACTTTCTACAAAAGGCCCATAAGACTAAAAAAGAAACAATGCCTTACCATCGTTCAACCGTTCTGTGAACTATTATCCAGCTTTCCCATGTCAATTTCATGTGGCCAGGGATTTTTGCTGTTTTCCCAGCATCTAGAAGAAAGCCTGGCAAATAGCCAATGTTTGTATCAATCATATTTTTCAGTGATCATGCTGAGTTACAAAAATCCTAAGATATCAATGGCTTATAGCAACATTTATTTATTGCTCACTGTTCTATAGTCAACTGTAGCAACTCTGTTTGAGACTGTGGGTTGGGTTAAGGTCTGTTCCATGTGTCTTCCCATGCCAGGGACCAGGCTGAAGGACATGGGGACATACTATTCTTTTAGTGGAGGGCAAGAGCCCAAGAAGGCTAATGGAACTTGAAATGCCTCTCAAAGCTTCTGCTAAGATCTGACACACTTCCATTTCTACCACCCACCTTCCATTGGTCTAAACAAGTCATATAAGCAAATTCTGTATCAATGGGGCAGGGAAATATACTACTTCCCTGAACAGCTAGGGAAAGGAGAGTGAATACTTGCTAAACAATAATAAAATCCACAGTAGTGCTCATAGATATTTGTTAATATTGTATGAATTAATCTACATGTACTGATATGGAAAGATCCCTAATACATACATACCATTAAGTGAAAAAGGCAAGTTGCAAGGCAATACATACACTATGATCCAATTGTAAACACACATACCAAAAATAAAACCATACACTAATATATGCACAAACGCTTTCATAAATGCATGTAGAAGGAGATGTAAAGTAGAAACACTAGACAGTTAACAGTTTAACTTCTGGAAAGGGGAGTAATATTGGGTAGGAATAAAAGAGTACATTTGCTTTTATATCATTTTTAAAAATTTTGACAAGGCATTTGCACTTAATTAGTATAGTTTTTATTTTTTAATTTTTGTATGATTTTTAAAAAACATTGTTTGAAAAGTGAAAAAAAAAGAAAAAGGAAGGCAATGTCCATTGTGAAGCTCATCATACAGTCTGGATTAGAAAAATGTCAAATGAGCAATTTGGAGGAAGTTAATGTCATAGTAAGAGTGATAAATTAATAACAAAATGTGCCCCAACTCTTATAATTGTTCAGTTACTGCTCTGACATTTAAAAAACACTACAACCTTTGTGGTAAGTGCCTTTATCTGGCTTATGAAATGATTATGAAATTACTTTGACAGTATCTTGCACTTAGATTGTATAAAAGGGAACATTTACTTAACCCATGGCATGTACATAGCAAGTCTATTAATAGTTTAATATTCCTAATTCATCTAGGAATAGCAAGTCTTCTTAATGAAGAGAAATATCCTCTAAACAGCATTATTTATCTTGAAGATGCTCCCAAAAGTCATACTGTAAAGCAAACTAGACATTCGACCTTCTACCTCTTTCTCTAGAACCTCATGCCTTACCGGGGTAGTCATGAATATAAACTTTCTGAAAGGCTGAATCACTTTATCAGGTAAAGTGATTTACCTGATAAAATTATCCTAGAACATCTTACCCGGACTATGATGGCCACTTTGCATAGCTAACATCTCATCAACCACACAGAGTATCACAAAGTTTGGTGGCTGAGGTCTTGGAAAAAAGTAGGCAAGTCAATCAGTCCCCAAACTCTGACTGATTGCTCACACAATGCACCTAGGATCTTAGATGAGTAAATACATTTCAAAGAACAAACACCAATTCTATTCTTCCCTCAAGAGAAAACAATAAATAGGTCATTTTAAAATTTGGTTTGTTTAAGTCATCTTTAAGGTGGTTTTTTACTTGCCACTAATAATTTTTGTTCTGGATGTGATTTTCTAATTTGTAGGTTTAGGAATTAGAATGCATTAAATTATTTGAGATTGAGCTCACCAGTTGGACTAGCTCAAGTTAAGAGGAGTTCAGAGGAGGTTCACTTACAAACAAGACCATGAGTTTATTCATTTACACTACCCTACCAAATATCTCCCAGAACATGGATTTCATCTTTTATACGTACTCCTTTCCCAGAAAAGAAGGCTAAATTAAGTCCAAATGATTGGTTGACAAACATTGGATTCAAAAAGAGGAAATCGTATGATTTAAATAACGCTTATTGATCTGTGATACAAGAATAACTTTGCTGCTAATGAAAATATCTGCCTGGCTGATTTTATGCCTGGGTCAGTCCATCAGAGCAAGTCTCTTTCTTGGTGGTGCCAGGAAGGGAACCCTGAAAAACTATCCTCATTAACTCCTCATTAAGAGTTTAATTCCAAAAGGGAAAAAAATGGCATAGATGATAGAGCCTTTGTTCATCCCTCTTGCAACCAAATCAAAGTTGTGACAAAAACACGGAGCGAACGGCAAGCAAAGTCACCTGGAATCTAGATGAACAGAAGCATTACAACTAGGGAGAAAAATAATGAATCATCCTGCAACAGTAGAAGGTAGGAAGGGGCGAAGATGCGAGGCTGCCCGGTCCCGAGTGGCTCAGTGGGACAGAGACAGCAGCAGAGGCAGCCAGTGGCAGCAGAGGCAGCCGGCAACTGCAGACGCCTCTTAAAGGGGCTGTGTCTGCGAGCAGAGTTTTGTGGTGATGGACCTGCTCACTCTGAGTACCAATGCCAGGTTGGCTACACAGTGGGTACCAGGGACTTACAGGGGAACACTGAGTTGTTGGAGTGAAGAATAGAGGTGAGGCTCTCACCCAGGCAGAAGTGCCGGCGGTATCCATTGTTCCTCTGTTGAGCCCTCCCCCGTCCCAGTGTGCGGACTCAGCACCGCCATAGCTGAGATGTGACCAAAGTGGATAACAGAGATTACTTGTCCCAGAGGATTTCCTGAAACTCTGCCTCCCCCAACTCATGGCCCCACCCAAGCCACATCCAGGTGTGTCCTTGGCAGGTCCTGTGTGACTTGCTGAACAGTGCCAAGACCCACACTAGTGGCAGATGGCCACAGTTTCTGGCGTGGCCTCTTGAGGCAACTATAAGCACAGTATCTGGGGATTGCTTGCTGAATCTCAACAGGTGCCCCCAGAGGGGCACAGGCTGGGGCTAAACTTGGGCTGCAGCTGAACCCCTCTCAGGACTGTGCCACTGGACACCTAATACACAAATCCACGCTAAGACCGGGAGACTTAGGAGTTTTGCATAGTACATAAAAAAAAGACACAGAAAAGCAGCCAAAATGGGAAGACAAAGAAGCAGAAACCATATGAGAGAACAGAACAGATATCCAGGAATAATAGAGTCAAACAATCTAACAGATGCAGAGTTCAAAATACTGGTTATAAAGGTAATCATTTAACTTAGGGGAAGTGTAGATGAACTCAGTGAGAACTTTAACAAAGAGGTAAAAAACATAAAAATGGAAATGGAAATTATAAAAGGGAACCAGTCAGTAATGAAGAACACATTATCTGAGATGAAGAGTGTAGTAGAGGGAATCAACAGAGTGGATAAAGAAGAAGATCGAATCACTGATATAGAGAATGTGGAAGCCAAGGAAACTCAATCAGAATAGTAAGAAAAAAAGAAGCCAAGACTATAATAATACTTTAAGGAGCCTATGGACACAAGTAAATGTAAAAATATCCATGTCAAAGGAGTACATGAAGGAAAACAAGAAGTTAAAGACCCAAAAAAATGAACCCAAAGAGGCCCACACCAAGACACATAATTAAAATGCCAAACGTTAAATACAAAGAGAGAATCTTAAAAGCAGCAAGAGAAAAGCAATTAGTTACTTACAAGGGAGCTCCCATAAGACTATCAGCTGATTTCTCAACAGAAACTTTGCAGGCCAGAAGAGATTGCAGGAAATACAGTGATGAAAAGCAAAGACCTACAACCAATATTATTCTGCTCAGCAAAGCTACCAGTTAGAATCAAAAGACAAGGGCAAGGTTCCCAGACAAGAAAATGCTAAAGGAGTTCATCACTATCAAGCTAGTATTACAGGAATTTTTGGAGGGACTTTTTAAGAAGAAAAAAAAAACATGTATCAAAAACATGAATAAAGAATGGTAATAACTACATATCTGTCGACGAATACCTCAAATGAAAAAGAATTAAGTTCTCCAACCAAAAGATAGAGTGGCTGAATGGATAAGAAAACAAGACCCCTACATATGCTGCCTACAAGAGACTTACTTCAAATTAAAGATACACAAATACTAAAAGGAAGGGGATGGAGAAAGATATCGCCTTGATGGACCTAGAGGGTATTGCACTGAATGAAGTAAGTCAGATAGAGAAAGACAAATACCACAAGATTTCACTTATATGTGGAATCTAAAGAACAAAATAAACAATAACAAAAACAGAAATAAACTCATAGATATAGAGAATATTTTGAGAGATACTAGATGGGAGGAGATTTGGGGGGACGGCAAAAAAGGGCAAAGGGATTAAGAAGTACAAATGGATAGTTACAAAATAGACATGGAGTTATAAAGTGTAGCACAACGAAAATAGTTAATAATTTCATACACATGTAAGAGGGAAGAGGGGTTCTAGATTTAGTGGGGTGATCATTTTGTGAATTAATCACTATTTGATACAATTGAAACTAATATATTGTTGTATGCCAACTATAATTGAAAAAAAAATCTCATTGCATTGTGCAATGTAAATACAAGCAACTTATTGTCTATTATATTTCAATAAAGCCAGGGGTAAAAAAAGAAAAAAAAAGTTTAGTTCCAATGTCAGCTTGTGGCTATTAGAGGTGTCTCCAGTTGCCACTTGGTCTTGATTTCCAATTATATTAGTGAAGATGGACTCTTCCAATGAAAAGTATTAGAAAGTTAAAACTCAAACAAGTTTAAGCAAAAACTCTAAGTCATTTGTTCATCTCTGAACCAATTGTGGCCAAAGGGATAAAATGTGCTGATTGTCCAGGCCTGGGTTTCTCAACTATCCCTAGGATGAATTTTACCCCTAAAACATCACAAGGACTGAGGGAGGACAGAGTTTTCTACTGGAAAAGAAGAAAGATTGGAAGGTGGGCA